ATACTGATGGATGTATTGAACTTTTTGTAAGAATATAATGTAACTTACCCAACCATTTCACGTAACTGTTTAAGAGAGACACGACTCCTCGCATGTCCCACACGTACGAATACAGATCATACAGTAACTCACGATTATTACAATATGTAAGCCTTTGAAATAGTCTATTTACGGCATTGCACATATCGTTTAACTTAGCTGCTCGCGTGTGCCATTCTTCGATCTAAAATTTATTTAACACAGTTATATATATAGTTATATATTATAATGTAATATATACATTATAATGTATTATATATATCTTAGTCGTAATACATTGTTAGAAGAATTGCATACATCAGATTCTGATACAGTTTCATCCTCTTTTGATTTTCTCATAACAACGTGAGCATTACTTTTCAACCAATTAAACTCTTGCAGTAATTGAATGCCTTGACCACCATGTTCAAATGGCAGATAAAAAAGATCGCATAACAGCGATAAATCTTCTTGCGTCAATCGCTTGTCAGCATCTATCGATTCTTGAGACTCTTGATATGCATTATCACTGTTATCATGATTTTCACTGTCATTTTCAACAATCATCTGAGTACCATTCACAACAGGGGAGGTGCCATCCACTTCTACTTGCATACTGCCAGAGGCTTCACTACATGTCTATGAAACAAAATAAACAATTGTATAAATTTTACAAGTTCCATAGCTAATGACATTTAAAGAAACTCACAGAAGTATTTTCTACCATAGCATCATCCTCTGTTTGAATCTTGGCTGCATGTGCTGGAGAATTATTAGGTGTTGTATTACAATCCATTGGTTCCATTGATGACAAAGTATTTGAATTTGGTACATTTTCCACACTAGTAGAAATTGATGGAATAATGGGTTCACTAACAACAGTCGTTTCAGATACCAAAGAATTCATGACGGGACCAGTGGCAGGTTGTACGTAGCTGTCAGTAGTTGTCACACTTGAGCAAACCTCAGCCAATGCTTGAAGATGATTGGAATTATTTACTGGCGTCGGTGTTGCAGGAACGGTAGTTGTAGTCGTCGTGGATGTGAGACTCATACATGTATTTACAGAGGGAATTATTGGAATTGGTACGGTTGGAGCGACACATGGCTGTGGCTTCGCTATGACACCCCATGCAGATCGTTTTTTGTTAAATTCCACTAACCAATCGGTAATAGCATTTTTCAAAGCGTGCCGAGGATGATATATATTTGGAGACATTGTTAAAGGAACATCTTCACCAAGCACACCATCTTCTGTTTCAGTCTCTAATTTTATGTCAGCTGATACAGTGTCATCTAAAAAACATAAAGTAGAACAAAATAACGCAGACTTAATTTATTTTTTAATCAAAAGCAGTTAGGTACTCACTTAAACTTAAATCCCTTTTCCCATCAACATTACATCTACTCCATTGAGCTAATGTATGAATTGCTATAAAATTTGCTCCATATTCACAATTAGGATTGGTTAAAACACCTCTGAGTTTAGGAATCAGGTCAGGAGATCTACCAGAATATGGTCCTAAGAATACTCGTTTCTGATCATAATCATTGGCATGTAAATTATCCCATATGACTGGTGGCCTCCTCAGAACTTCTGTAATCTCTTCAATGGACTCAACAGTTAGAAGTCTGGATATTACTTTAGGACCAGTCCACATTATATCAATTTCTTGAGCCAGTTTACTACCAAGTGTGTTAAGATACTCTGAAGATGCTACATTTGGCATTGCCCGAGTTGCACAATATTGTGTTGGACACAATAAAAATCTAGGTTGGCCAAGATGTTGAAAAATATCATTTGTAACAGAAACCTATAAACAGATTATCTTAATTAATTATGAATAAGATATTTTATAATTATTATGCTGATTAAATTATTTAATACATACTTGTGCATGAGCAAAAGACTGAAATACTTCTTTATCTGCTTCACTCATTTCTGGCTCTATATCATCAAATAATAATGCAAATGCAGTACAGCCAAACTGGCTAACTTGCTCTAATTTTCTTTTTAATACACTAACTTCCTTTGCACTTGAATAAGTGATATCCAATCCTGGTGATAATGCATAATAAAATGTGATACCACATTCTCTTGCAGCTGTTATCAACCCTGTCAAATGTTCTGCTTCTTCTACCGTATATAAGTCTCTCCAATATGCTCGATGCTTGTAATCGTCTTTTGGAGCATATAAATACGAATCCATACCCCATTTTTTTAATCTGAAAATTAATGAAGGAAGCTTAGAATACTGTCCTTAACATGAACATGAATAAAAACTGATATAAAATACTTGCTTTTGAAATAAATCTTTCCTTTGTTCTGTAGTCCAAGGTCGCCCATAAAAACCTGAAATATCAAATGGTATATTTTATGCAAATACGAGTTACTGTAATGAATAGCGCATTCCAATCATTCCCCCTCCTATGTGAAGCCATTGCGAACGATGACCAAATATGTATATTTCACGCCGTAGAAAAAACCGTTTATGTACCTTCGACGACGCCGCAGATAAAATTGCCATTTTTCGTATTCAAATTTGCGGCCCCATTTGTCTCCGCCATTGCGGATCACAAGAGGCACGTTTGTTTAGTACAGGACTACAAAAATGGCTAAACAGTACTCCGGTACAAAATACTATCGTTTCTTGAAAGAACGCAAACCGAAGCTGTTATAAATGCTATGTTGCTCACAACACGATTCTGTTGTGCGACCGTCACGACAGCATTACTCGTTTTCTTGATAAGAAAAAAAACTCAGTTCGGAACAGTGCAATTCCGATGCAACAAAAACCCCGTCTCTAGTATTTCTGACAGGCTGCGCCCGCTGTTCTGATCGATACTGATTTCTCGATCTATCGACTGTACGTAGAACGATTAACGGAAGGTTCCGTTGGATGGTGGCGACATCTGAGATTCGAATCGAGGATACATTTTGGAATATAAAAGCGCTGTCATTCGGTATCGTTCTGTAAATTAGTCCAAGAATATACCAGTTTTGTTGCTTATGTAAAGCTACAATTATTTTTAACTGTATCTGAATACATGTGATGAGAAAATGACCGATAACAATAAAATGTAAGTATATTTATTGGATGATAAAAACATTACTGTCTATAAATTGCTTTAGACTAAGACTCAATTGTGATTTATAGCTGTGCATGATACATGTTTATTTTAAATCAAATATTTGCAAACGTATAGAGATTGAAAGTCGAGGTTGCATATCTTTATTAATTAAGTTAACATTTTTTTGTACATATATATAGATAGATAGAAAATTTGACCGAAAAAGAATAGAAGAAAGTTCCAATGTGCACGAAAAGATATCGTAACAGATACTCTACATGCGTTGTTACGATCGAATCGTTTCAAACGCCTGTATGATTTCAAAATTAACAAAGTCATGGATATCAGAATAGAATAAGCAATTTGGAAAATGTACTTTCATATATTCTACATTCTTATTTTTACAATCGATCATATGTTTTCATTTTTATTAAATCAATTAATATGAAAAAATAATATACTATAACGTTATCTTCTTACTTCACGGTTTAAATTTTTCGTTTACTTTTTGATTGATGAAAACATATATAAAAATACTAAAAGTATTATTCCTTGAGGCATTTATGAACTTGTACAAAGTTTAAGTTTATACTGAAAATATTTAACATATGTTGTAAGTGATGTACTCTAATATCTTAACAAATTTTACATTGCAAAGACTACATTTATTCTCAGTAAATTATCATTCGGTATGAAGTACAAATTCAACAGCACGAATTCGTCCTGTATATATATATATATATATATATATATATATATATATATTCATGCTGGTTTTATCAGCGGCATCGATTAAACGTAGTCAATGTATATGTGATTTCGGTATCGTATAACCTCAGTGTTAGTTCGTGCCGCAGGAAACGCCACATAAAGTACAGTCCTGCAATATTCCTTTACACACGCAATTAAATGTTCAACATATAGCCTCAAATGGAACATTACTAGTGAATTTTCATGAAAAGAATCGGAAGATACTCTTTTACGTGTTACTATTTACGTAAATGATAAACTCAGTTACACACACAAAGGAACTTTATTTCTTTTATGAACAATTAAATATTAATTAAGATAGAAGCTGATCCGTAAAGTACATATTTCACGTTATCGAAAAATATAGAAATAAACTATGAGAATAAAAAGTAATTCAAGTTTATATCCTTTTTATTATTTCGACTTATATGCATATGTTTCTAAATATATACGGAGAAATGGCGCACACGCTGTTTAATATTTTTCAAACTGTATCAAAACAACAAGACATATGTACTTAGGCTAGAAACATACATTTACGTCTATTTCTTAGGACTACAAACAAAATATACAATTTGCACGAATGAAGCTTTTACATTTTATTCTAAGTCTCCTTAAACGTGATACATATTCCACATAATAAAATCGAAGCGTACGTTCCAATAACGCCTTAACGAATTGTATCGTGAAAGGGTTGCATTTGAAATATTCGATTGGAATGTTCGCAGTATTCTAGCCATGAAAAAATGTCAGGTGGCACGGAACAGCATGCAATTCTGTCCGAAAAACGTAGGTTCGGCGGTTAACGCAAGCGCATAGTGTAGGAATCGAAGGGCCGACGAATCGCTTGGCAGAAATGCCACATGGAGGCGCGGCGGTCGTCCCTCTAAAGAGGGGTGTAGTTTTTTTTCGGATGACATGGAGGGGGTGTCGAAGGGGCGGGTA